TTTTTCTCTCAAGGGTTTGGACCTGTCATCTGTCATCTCTTTTTATGGCCCTGGGTTTTGTATCAGGCTTGGAAGTCTTTGCCACTCTATGGTTATCAGTCATTTCTCTCTGCTATCACTTGGTAATTATATGTTTCTACATTTTTTTAAACATTTAAAAAAATCTTTTGGTAAGTTATTTTAGGGGCATAGTGTGATAGCGCTGTGCTCTTTTTTGATGATGCCCCAGTGTTTCTGACTCTGTAGAATGAGCCCTTTTTCCTCACTAATCTGAGATGCTTCTTCTATCATAGAATTTTTTATATATTTAGTACTATTTCTGAAATTTTTATTTATCTCATTTATCTCTCTAGCCTTATACTGGTACCACGTTTAATGCTACAATTTTTACTGTTTTAATCATGATCTGGTCTTTTTTTGTTTGTTTGTTTTAAGGATTTATTTATCTAGGGTACAGGTGCAGGGGTTGAGAGGATTCACCAGAGTTAGAGTGGGGAAAAGAACAAGTAGATTAACTGAAACACACTGCTGAGGGGAGCAGCGGGCAAGGCAGGAGAGGTCTGCTGTGCCATGTGGGTCAGCTCCCTACTCGGGGATCGACCTATGTGCTGCAGTGGCTGCAGATTTCTTCATAGTGCTGTGCTTCACCCCTTGAGCTACCAGGATCTTTCTTTGGAGAGTCTCTGCCGCTCCCACCCCTCCCCACCCTCCCAAGGCCTGAGTATGGTAGGTTGGAAAAAGCCCCGCACAGACTGAAAGAAAGCCAGGCAGAGCAACCAATGGAGGCTGGCGCTGGAGTGGGGAGTTGCCCACGTGGAGCTGGGAGGGAGTCTTTTATAGCAGGCTGGGTACTTTGATGGGTCCAGGTGTCCATTTGGGGACTTCCCCTTCTCCCCAACCCTCTCAAAGCCCCTGTTTCCCAGAAACCCATCCTAGTGGGTCCTCCAGGAGACAGTCCAAGGCCCCCGGAGGTAGAGATGCTTAAACGGTGCTTGGGTTTTATGGGAACAGGAGGCATTTCCCGATGCCCCTTCCTGCATCTCCCCAGCCCAGCATCCGCCTCCACTGGTTGCTCTGCCTGGCTTTCTTTCAGTCTGTGCAGGGCTTTTCCTTCCTATCTGCCCCGCTCATAGTCTCTGCTGCCCCATCCATCTTCCCCCCAGCCTCAGTCCCCCTCTCAGACATGCTGGGGCTGCTCAGATTGTTCAGGCCCTGACCCTCTGCCTGCTGGCTTTTCCCCTCCCAGATTGGGCTGGTGGTCATCCTGGTGGCCACGGTGGTGGCCATGTCGGCCGTGGCCCAGCTGTGGGAGGACGAGTGGGAGGTGCTGCTGATCTCTCTGCAGGTAAGTGGGGTTTCCTCCCTTCAAACCGGAGGCAGAGCTGCCTGGCCCATGGCTAGAGAGAAGCCACTGGGACTTTGGTGACCAGTGCGCCTAGCATGCTGGGAGTCAGTGGCCCCGTGGCCCCTTCTCACACCAGGGCACAGCGCCATTCCTGCACATGGGGGCCCTGGTCACCATCACCGCGCTCTCCTGGATCATAGCAGGACAGTTCGCCCGCATGGAGAGGTCCTGTGAGTACGACCGGGTGGGACCTTCTCCCCCGGGCCTTCCAGGGACCAAGGCCAGCTTGTCCTGCCCTCACCTGCATGTCACCTGGGTGGCCAAGGGCCAAAGTGGGGCTCTCGCTCTCGGTATGTGTGTGTGTGTGTGGAGGGAGGGGGCTGGGTTTCTGAGTCAAATGACTGGAAGATTCCATGGAGGGTATTCTTCTCTAAGAAGCAGCCCTGCTGAATCTCTATCTGTGTGTATGTGTGAGCTAGAGGCCCAGCTGATCCTGCCCAGAATGATTGAGGGATATCCTGGGTGGCCTGAGGGTCCCCTCAGATTGTCTGAACCCTGACAGGTAGAGGGAAGAGGGGTTCACTTTCCCTCCTCAGCCGACCTAGGGCTCACAGGGTGGGGAGTCTGGGAATGGAAAGGCTTCCCCAGGCAGCGCTCACACCCTGTGTCTGCAGCCTCCCAGATGGCCCTTCTCTGTGCCTTCTTCGCTGTGGTGTTTGCCCTCTACCTGGCCCCTCTCACCTTCTCCTCTCCCTGCATCATGGAGAAAAAGGACCTGGGCCCCAAGCCCACCCTCATCGGCCACCGTGGAGCCCCCATGGTGAGTGCTATCAGAGGATCCCCACAGACCCTGGGGAGGGGGTGGCCAGAGCTGCCATACGGAGGGGGGGGGTGGCCAAAGATCTGAGGGGGAGGGCTGTGTAGGGAAATAGGTATAGATGGAATAATTGTAACATAATTATAGCAACAATTTTTTTAGCCCCTGTTGGGGAGTATATAGGAAGGGTTGATGAAAAGGCCAGATGAAAAAATTTGGATGGCTCAAATCTGGAAAAGTCCTGAAAGCATCTTAGTAAAAATTTTAACTATTTTTTTTAAAGATTTATTTATTGGTGCATTCAGAACTGGGGTACAGGCCAGAGGTGCAGGGGCAGTGAGAGGCCTCACCAGAGACATAATGGGGAGCAGAACAGGCAGATTGATGAAGTACACTGCTGAGGGCAGCAGCAGGTGGGTCAGGAGAGGTCTGCTGCACCATGTGGTCACCTCCGGGGCAGGTGGGAATTGAACTCATGCTGAATTGGCTTTAGCTTCTTAGTGCTGTGCTTTAACCAGCCGCACCACCAGGGAGGGCCCAAAAGTTTTAACTTTTATCCTGGAGACCGAGGAAAGACATAGGTGAGCACATGTCAGGCCAGGGCCAAAAACTGCTGGGCTCTGGGTTAAGAAGATTCAGAAGAGACATGCAGCATATAGGCAGGATGTGTGAGTCCATTGCTAAGGGGAAGGCAGTTGCAGGGGGGTTGGGGAGGGAGGAAGGAGTCGTGGATGCTGCTCCTGCTTCACCTCCACACCTGTGAGCCCGAGGCTGACTTTCTGATGAGACGGCAGCGCCCTCCCTTGACAGCTGTGGGAACCACAGAAGATGGGCCGGTCCCCATCTTCTTTTGCTTGGTTTCCTCACTTTGTGCCTTGGGGTCATGAGAAAGCTGCTCTGGAGGGTCAACTGAAGTTAATGTGTCTGCAGTACCCAGCTGTGAGCCTGGCACACAGGGAGTAATCGGTAGGCATTCCTGGTATCCGGGCAGCCCCTGGAGCGGCTTCCTCCCCCAGGAACGCTCCAAGTTTGGCTCTCATGGGGCAGTGCCACTGTCCTCCTGATGGGGGCGTGTGGGGCTCCGTGAAAGCTTGCCCTTGGTTGTCACAGACAGGAGGGCTGCCTTGTGGTGTCACGTGCTGAATCTCAGGGGAGTCAAGGGGGGACTACAGAGTAAATGCTTAAAAAGAAGGCGTCAAATCTGACAGGGCTGTGAGTCACTCCGCAGGCCCTTCCCTGCCCGCGGTGACCTCATGGTGCCCAGCTTCGAGCTGAGTCTGAGGCCTGTGCCCTGAGCTGCGAGCTGGTGCCCTCCCATCACACCCCATGCTGGCCGTGGCCTCCTGGATGCACCCAGTGGGGAAAGACTGTGGGTCAGACAGATCTGGGCCTGGGGTGATTGACACCCACCCCCTCGGAGTCTGATGTAAGGAAGTTTAGAAAGCAGCCTTCTCAGGGGGGTGGCCCACGACTGTAGCCCCTCTCCCTCCAGGGCCCAGATTGCCCACACCTCCCCTGGAGTGAGGGGGACCCAGCCGGGACTGGTTTTTAGTAGCAAACTTCCAAATACTCACAGAAGTGGAAAGAATAGTGTAATGCAGTTCATGCTGGTAAATCCAGCACCACTGTAACATTTCTCAATGCTTTGGCCCTTCTTATTTCATCTATCTCCCTATTTTCTTTTTTTCCGCTCTAATATTTTATTTATTTATTTTTCAACATTTATTTCATTTTTTTTTTAAGATTTTTACTTATTTATGAATACCAGAACTGGGGTACAAGTCAGGGGTACAGGGGCGGTGAGAAGCTTCACCAGAGACAGAGTGGGAAGCAAAACAGGCCGACTGATGAAGTACACTGCTCAGGGGAGCAGTGGATGGATCAGGGGAGGTCTGCTGCGCCATGTGGATCAGTTCCTTGGCCTGTTCCGCTCCTGTTGCAGTGGCTGTGGATAGCTTCACGGTGCTGTGCTTTAACTCCTTGCGCCACCACAAAGTCCCTTCTCGAGTATCTTAAAGCAAATCCAAACCATTACGTCTTTTTACCATCCATACTTCAGGGTGTACCTTTAATGCAGAGTTCAATCCCTGGCCAGGGAGCTGACCCACATGGCACAGCAGACCTCTCCTGTCTCCCCACTGACCCCCTTAGCAGTATATTTCACTCGATCTGTCCTGTTCCCCACTGTCTCTGGTAAATCCTCTCATGCCTCACACCTCTGGCCTGTACCCCAGTTCTTCTATGCAAAATAAATAAATAAATAATTTTTTTAAGAGGAAAATGAAGTCAGTTTAAAAAATATGTCTTTCAGAGTTGAGTTGTTAAAGGCACACACTTTGTATCTGGTTGACATCTAAGTATATATTCATCTGTAAGTGCCCCCTTCTTTCTTTCTGTGTGCTCTTTATGTGTTGAGGTAGCTGAGTCATCTGTCCTGTAGACTTTCCCATGTGGTACATCTGACATTCTCGTGTGGTTTCTGAGGGACGGACATGGGGGTCTGACACAAGCCCTCTCTGTTATTGTGTTTACATGTATATCTCCAGGGAAACCCCCATTGGGACTTTTTGTGTTTCCAAGTGGGTCAGCGAGGGCCAGGCTTCTATACCTCTTTCTCCAAGAGGCCAGCGCTTAACCTAAAAGCCTCCAAAGAGAGGCTTTTAAAACAAAACCCCTTCCCCAGTTTTTGTGTGCCCCACCCCCTCAGTGGTCCTCACAGCACCTGCTACGCCCCTTCGCCTCCCCAAGGTCTGCCTTCTGTCGGCCCAGCCCACATAGGAGGGGAGTGGCCGTCGGCACCTCTTGAGCGGTCACTCGGTCAGGTCACTCGTGGAAGGCAAGGTTGGTCGGAATGTAACTGAATACTGCTCTGCTGGGAGACAGGAAGCAAATTCTCCAAGGCTGCTCTGCTCTGGGGAGAGGAAAGAAAGGAACTAAATTCACAGAGATACCAGTGTGTGTTATGTCACCCGTGAGCATGAACGTGGTAACATTCGCTCACGTTATGGCTAAGAAACTGAAGTTCTGGAAAGTGAGTGAGGGGATGGCCAGGTGGTTACTGGGAAGTGGAATTGCTCCTTCTCAGCAACAAGGCCAACACAGCCAGAGGGAGAGAAGAAGGTAATGAGTGAGGTTGTGTGGGGCTGACTTGGGCTTGTGAAGCTTGGGCACCTCACAGGGCACTGCCCACAGCTCCCCGTCCCTGTCTTCCACCCTCCAAGTGCCAGCACTAGCCCAATCTTCGATGTGGTGCTGACCTCCAGTGGCAACAAAGGGTATGACAGGACTCAAGACTGAGGGTGTAGAACCCCAATCCTCCCAACTGGGAGGACCCTCAGACAACAACAAAATATACAGCTCTACAAGGGGCAAGTGGGAAAAACTGAGGTTCACAGGAGTCGTGGTTTCACCAAGGCCACATGGCTAGATGATGTTGCCATTCTGGTCTGCTGGTATTCATCTACAGGGTAAACAGTTATCGTTATAATCACTTTCTGCACAATAGGCAGCATGCTTAAGGGCTTTTACCCCACGAATCCAGGAGATAGCCTTTCGTGTCTCTATAGATGAGAAACCCACTGAAACTATGTCATCCCGTCTACCATCTCCTCAGCCTCAGGGGGTCCCACTGGAATAGAGTGCACAGCCAGCCCAGCCCAGGAGGGCCAGGCAGGCAGAGGAGTGCAGAAAGCCCTCCACCTCCGGAACCCAGCCTGGGCCTGATGCTACAGCGACTGTTGCTCCTGCTTATGAAGTGCTAGCGATATGTCAGGCATTTATATGTGTCGGCACTGACTCCTCCTGTCTCCCCAAACCCCCAAACCTGTGAGGCGGCCATAATTGAACAGATGAAGAAACCGAGCTTCAAGAAGCTGCACAGGTTGGGAGGTGGGGGGAGACCCACACAGCTACTGCTTAGAAGAGTCAGAATTCAAACTGCACCTGTCCCAGCCTCCCAAAACAGAAGGTTCTCCATTGGCTGGTGAGGGGCACATCAGCTAAGTGTCAGCCCTCCCCTTACCATCCCCTGTCTCCCCAGCTGGCCCCAGAGCACACGCTGATGTCCTTCCGGAAGGCCCTAGAGCAGAAGTTGTATGGGCTCCAAGCTGACGTCACTATCAGGTACTTGTGGGGGGTGGGATGCCAACCTTCTCCCCCCCACCCCCACCCCCTCATCGAACTCCCCCGCTGCACCTGCACCTGGGGCTCGGATCATCCACAGTAGGTCAAATGCATAATAAATGCAAATAAATCAGAGCCAGACTCCAGGATATAAAAGAGAAGCGAGCAGATGCTCTTAGTTCAAGTGGTTGGGGGGGCGGCGGGGAGAACGGGAGGCAGCAAAGAAGGGAGGTCTGGACTCCTGCCACAGAGCCACTTGACGGAAAGACCAGATCTCCGTGGCTCAGCAAGATGGTGCTCAGACTGGCCACGAGTGAAAGTCTCAGCTGCAGGGCCATGTGTTCACTGGTCTGTCATTCATATTTGCAAAGCCACTCATCAGTGAGGAGCACATTTTCTACATGTAGATGTGAGCACATGTCCGTATGAAGGGCAGGAAGCACCTACGCCGTCTCCTAGCACTATCTCTGAGAAGGTGGGGGGCCAGAATGGGGGCCTACAGTGCACCGGCCGTACTCAACGCGTGCACACGAGGACACCGACTCCCGCAGACGTCACAGAATTGTGGATTTATCAAAACTCTCTAGCAGATGGTGTAAAGTGCCTTGAGGGATTAATTGGCAGGGTGCCTTTTCCTGTTTCCCCCATATGGGCTATTGGTGGCCCCAGTGGTGCAAATCAGGACAGTGGGGCTGGGATGGAGGTGGCCTCACAGGGCCTGGGTTCTCAGCCAGGTGCCATTATCTGACTCGTGGGCCTTGTGCTGGGCACGCCCCTCTCCCGGCCTCAGTCGGCCCACTGGTAGGAACCACCTTCCCCATGCAGAGAATAGGCTCAGCTCTCCCTCCTCAGCCGGCAAAAGGGAGTCCCCCACCAGCCCCGCCCCTGTCCTGTGCAGACGGGGCTGCGGGGCTGCGGGGCTGCGGCCCCAAGGGGCAGCCTGCCTGCCTGTGTGTGTTTGGGGGAGACGAGTGGGGGGAGGGGCATTGTTGGCCTGCAGGGCGGGACCCCGGGTGGGCCGTGACTGGGGCGCCCTCTCGCAGCCTGGACGGCGTGCCTTTCCTCATGCATGACATCACCCTGCGACGCACCACCAACGTGGAGGAGGAGTTCCCGGAGCTGGCGCGGAGGCCAGCCTCCATGCTCAACTGGACCATCCTGCAGAGGCTCAACGCCGGCCAGTGGTTCCTGAAGGTGTGGCCACCCCCGCCCCAGTCTAGGCATGGAAAGCGGGGCAGGGACCTGAGGGCTGGCCCTGGGCTCAGGGGACCCCTACTAGAGCCTACTAGACTCTGCCAGGCTGGTTGGGGCCCCCTGGGCCTCCGGCCACTGCAGCTTGGACATCATGGTTGTCACTGCTTGTTCTGGCTCTGTCTCCCCCATCAGAGAAGCTGATGGTGATGACTGTAGTAAATAGTGAAGAAAAAATGTTTTAAGATTTATTTATGCTTACAGAATTGGGTTACAAGCCAGAGGTGTGGTGGGTGAGAGGCTTCATCAGAGTCAGAGTGGGGAGCGGAACAGGCAGACTGACAAAGTACACTGCTGAAGGGCGTGTCAGGAGAGGTCTGTCACACGTTGTGGGTCGGCTCCCTGGCTGGGGATTGAATTCGTGCTGCAGGGGCTTCGGAGAGCTTCATAATGCTGTGCTTTAACCCATTGCGTCACCAGGGAGAGCCCTGTAAATAGTTAAAATTTTAAACACTGTTAAACCTCCAGAGGGACAGTGGTTCTCTGATGTGAAATGCTACAGGAGAACTGCTCGGGCCTAGAAGATACTCCAAGCAAACAATCCTTTGGGCAAGCAGCGTGTGGCATAGAGAAGTGAGGGTTGGGGTCGCTGAGCCCCACAGGCCCACTGCCAGCCACTTGCCTGACGTGCACACACGCGCTGGCACACACTGGCAGCACAGCAGCCTTCACACTCCACTGCCAGGAAGGCCCGGGAGTGGCCGGAAGGATGGTACACAGTCTTGTGTGTGTCCCCATCTCTGCCAGACCGACCCCTTCTGGACGGCCAGCTCCCTGTCACCCTCCGACCACAGGGAGGCCCAGAACCAGTCCATCTGCAGCCTAGCAGAGCTCCTGGAGCTGGCCAAGGGCAATGCCACCCTGCTGCTCAACCTGCAAGAACCCCCCTGGGAACACCCCTTCCACGGCAGCTTCCTCAACATCACACTGGAGGCCTTGCTGCACTCAGGCTTCCCCCAGCACCAGGTGAGGCTCCCAGTGCACCCCCAGGGGAACCCCTGCCTGGCTGGGGTCCTGCTTCAGCTTAAACTCCCTGTCCCTCTCCAGACCTCCACTGCCACACTTGTAAAGTGGGGGTGTCGGCCGACCTCAACCTGTTGGTTGCTGACACCAACGGGTGACAGCACCCCCTCATGGCTGCTGACCACATACAGGGACTGGCGTGGGACTGTCAGTCTCGAGGGGAGGCTTCCCGAGATGTTGCAACCAAGTCGTCCCCCAAAGATGATTATTCCAATGAGGTTCTCACTACGTGTCAGATCTCAACATTTTTAAAAAATGTGTTAATTTATATATCTAATCACATTATTGTGCATTTTAAAACAATGTTTATTTCCTCCCTCCCCCAATTTGTCCATGCGTCATCACCACTGTCCCCACCTTCTTCCCTTCCTTCATTCCATCCCCCCCCCCTCTATAGAATAGCTCTGGTTTATGACTGTTTATTTTTGTTTTGTTGTGTTTTGTATTGTAATAACAGTACACTTCCCCCCGCCCCATGTCTTATATTCCTCCTATAAATGAAACTATTTGATTTTTTTTTCCTTCTGACTTAGTTCATTGAGCATAATCCCTTCGAGCTCTAGCCACGTTGCTGCGAATAGCATGAGTTTGTCTTTTTTGATCGTATGACCCAGCAGTTCCACTCCTAGGGATCTACCCAAAGGACACAGAAACATTCATTCAAGAAGAAACCTGCTCCCCTATGTTTATTGCAGTGCTGTTTACAATTAGCTAAGATATAGAAACAACCCAAATGTCCAAAATTAGATGACTGGATCAAGATGTGGCATAGATACATGATGGAATACTACTCAGCAATCAAAAAGGTCTCCGCTTTTAACTCCTGCAGGCGTTGAAGGGCAGACACCCTAACCCCATTTTACACAAGACAGATCTGAGCCCGCTCCCTCTCTGCCCGCAGGTCATGTGGCTGCCCAGCAGGCAGAGGCCCTTTGTGCAGAAGATGGCTCCTGGCTTCCAACAGACCTCAGGCTCCAAGGAGGAGGCCACCAGCCTGCGTAGAGACCACATTCAGTGGCTGAACCTGCGCTACACTCAGGTGTCGCGCCAGGAGCTCAGGTGCCCACCCCGCCCCGCCCAGGCTCACCCAGAGGCTGACTGAGATCCTGCCGGCGAAGGGCTGGACGCTCAGGGTTTGAAGCCAAGAGGTTGAAAACACCTGGCAGACCAGGGAGCAGGGCCCTTCCAGGGACAACTGGACAGTTGTGGGGATGGCACAAGGTCGCAAAGGGGTCGGGTTGTCTGGGCTCCCCACTCTGGGCCCAGAGGCACCCTGTCCTCAGGCTGACCAGCCTGGCCCCCCGCCCCACAGGGACTACGCATCCTGGAACCTGAGTGTGAACCTCTACACGGTCAACACGCCGTGGCTCTTCTCCCTGCTGTGGTGCGCGGGGGTCCGGTCTGTCACCTCCGACAACTCCCACACCCTGTCCCAGGTGCCTTCCCCACTCTGGATCCTGGTGAGTGGAGACTTGGGGGGAGGGGCAGAGGACACCTCTGGAGTGGCAGGGAGCTGCCCCAATCACTCTTGGTCTCTCTCTGGTGTGGCCCCAGGGGTGGGGGAAGCACAGAGTGGGGGTTCAAGCTTGAGGCAGATTTTCGTGGCCTGTGGGGTCCACACAGAGGTGCTGGAGGCCAGAGGAACCTGGGTCTGGCCAAAGAGAACTGAATACCTACTCGGCTTTTGAGGGTTGGGGGCTATTGTATCTTGTTTTAAAGGGAGGGAAGTCACTGGGAGAGGGCATCGGAGAGCGCATTCAAGTCGGCTGGTGCATACAGCCAGTAATACATTTTCAGTTGTCCCAGCACAGGCCTGAGTGCAGCCCCAGCCTGCACTGCAAAGCTTGGGGAGCCTTTTCCCTCCATCCTGGGCTCCCACTGCCACCTCCCTGAGGCCCAGACAGGCAGTTGGAGGGTTTCCTTGCAGGCAACAGCATGCCAGGGTTAGTCAATCACTCTAGATTATGGATGGGAAGTTCCGTCCATCCACCAGCCCATTGTCCTTAAAAACCTCCAGTGATGAGCACCCTCAAATTTCCAGATCACAGTAGCTGACCAACAGCATGAAGTGCCCCTTAGCCCAGCCTGTCCCCTCCCCGCAGCCAACCTGAGATGGAGGCAGCCTGACTACAAAGCGGGCCCTGCCCCCTCTCCCCCAGCCCTGGAGGGTTCCCCGAGACCCTGTCCCTACACTGCCACAGCACTCTTCACCCCACATGGGCCCACACTCCCTCACACACACCCTCACAGTCCCCAATCTGCCTCCCATCCAGCTCTTTGCTCTGAGCCCCTGGGGTGCACAGCCCCCGGGCCTATAACACCCACCAGACCCTCTTACCTTACCTGTGCACTTACTCGCCAAGCCAGGCCCTCCATGGCCACAGCCCGCTCTCACGGCTCAGCCCCTCCAGACCCTCCCCTCCTCAGTGGTAACAGGGGTGCCCCTGCCCCTGGGCCCCTCTGGAGCCCTAATCTGTTCTGGCCTGACTGGAAGCTGGCCTCGGGCCATCTGTCCACAGCCCCCGGACGAGTACTGTCTCATGTGGGTCACCGCTGACCTGATCTCCTTCACCCTCATCGTCGGCATCTTCGTGTTCCAGAAGTGAGTAGGCTTCTCACCACCTTCCGCAGACTTCCCCGCCCCAGCCAGGTGAAAGTATCCTGAGCCCTGGGCCAGAGAAGGCCCGACAGTCACCCTGTGCAGGGGAGGAGGGGTCTCCCTCTGGCCCTGGCCCATCCTCAGCCAGAGCCGGGTGGCTTTTGCAAGCAGCACCCAAACCAGGAGCCCAGAGCCGAGCTCTGCGCTGATGCGCAGTGTGGACTTGGCGAGTTCCGGCCCCGCTCCGAGCTTGTCCCCTCACCTGCTCGCGTGGCACCGGCGCCCTTTAGCACTCAGCACCGGTCAAGCCCCAGCCCCGCCCCTGGCCACAGTGGGCACGGTGGGGAGGTGGGGTCGGTCCAGGGGAGGGTGTCGGCCAGCCAGGAACTGACTGGGCTTTATTCTCACTGACTTCTCTCTCTGCCCATTCCGCTCTGATCCGGCATGTCCCTCCTCTCTCCCCCTGCCCCTCTCTGCTGCACTCTGGCATCTCACAGCTATCACTTGATCAGGTAATTCTGGTGTGGTCTCCCTCCTTCTCCTCCTGTTCCTTTCTCTCCTTCTTCCTTGCCACCCCCTTCTCCAGTTCCGTTTGAAATCCTGCTGCGCAGCCTGGCTCAGGCTCCTTCACTGGGCACCTTCCCAGACACCGCCCGCCTGAAGCTTCCTCCCTTCCCTGCGCCCATCACGCCCCCTGGGCACCCCCCCCCTCCTGCTGTTTCTGTGGATGGGGAGCCAGCTTTTCCTTGCAGGTTGCTGACCTGACCTCTCTGCACTAAAGCCTCTCCCCTAGGATTGGGGGCCTACAGGGACACCCCTCCCCTTCCCCTCTCCCATCACTCACTGTTTACCTTTCTTGGTTTCTCATTTTCTGTCCCTGAGTCCCGCCCGGCCCCTGCTCTGTCCTCACAGCCTGCCCTGCTTTCTCCTGGGAGGGCCCCACAGTGGTTAAGCATCCTGTCTTAGATGTGCCTGGCTGCAGAGACCCTGGCCCACACTTTCCTTGCAGATTTACAGTTAATTTCCAAGATGAAGTTGAGGTTTGAAGGATCCAGTTCCTCTTGGTCCAGTTCCTTTAGCTCTCCTGGATCAAGCAGCTTCCCTGAGTAGCTTTTAGGGAAAACTGTGTTCTCTGACTGGGGACCCGAGCCCAGCAGGAGGACATGTCCCCACACGTGCCGCCTGTGTAGGAGTCGGGCCCTGTGTACAGACCCAGGGTGCCGGGAGGCCCCAGGAAGACCCAGGTGCTACCGCAGAGAGGGTGAGCCCGCCCCACACCGGCACTGTCGCTGTCTCCCTGGGGTCAGGGCAGGCCTGGTGGAGGCGTGGGCCCTGGCGAGCACTGCCTCGTGAGCCCATCCGTCCACTCACTGGTTAAACAGAACTGTGGGTACCTGCACAGCAGGCCCTGAGCCCTGAGGTCGGTGTTGGTGACACAGTAGTAAATAAGACGCCCAGGCGACATCCTCAAGGACGTGTAGGGTGGACAGCCAGCCAGCGCACAGGCTGCCTCCCCGCCTTCTGCCTGCCCTTGTCTGTCTGCCCTGCTCACCCACCCTTCTGTCTGTCCATCAGTCCCTCTCTGCTGCGCTGACCCCATCTGGAGGCCGTTGATTTTCTCCTGGAGTCTGGGCTCCCTCCAGCCACCGCAGCAAGGCTCCGTGCCCTGGGGGTTGGGTTCTTGTTTCTGAGCTGACCTGTTTCTCTTGGTGGGAGGGGGAGTGGGGGCCAGAATCCTTCTGTCCAGGTCCATCTAACTGCCAAGACCAGATGTTCGGGGCTAGTTCAGAGAAGCCACACAGCACAGGGCCACTCTTCCTGGCACTGCAGGCCCTGTGCTGTCTCACTCTCAGCCTCCTACGTTCATTTTACACCCCCTTGCTCCTGCTCAGCCATCAGAGGGGTTATCACCCCAGCCTGACCCTCCCACTAGGCGGTATGGACCCCACGCCTCTGGGGCTGTTGGAACAGAGCAGCAGCCAGCCTCGCACGACACCCTGGCCTCTGAACCTGTGAGACCACTTCTGAGCAAAGCGCACACATGCTCACGGCTCCCTTCGCCTTCCTGCTTTCCTTCACCTCCTCTCTGGGGATCCCCCTGGCTTTGCTCAGCCTGCTCATGCTGGTGGAGCTGTGGGTAACAATCAGCCGGGGCCCCCTGAGATTGGTGTTTACCCCAGGGTAGGTTTGTCTCATCCAAAGGGAGCCAAAATCAGGGGTACCTTAGAACCAACCCAAAGCACCTTCCTGGACGAGGGGAGCTGATTTAAGACTCCGGAGGTAAGAGGGAGGCAAGAGAGCCCTGCTGGGAGCCTGTACAGTCAGAGTCAGGCTCTGGAAGCGGCAGGATGCCCGCGCCCAGGCACAGGAGGGGAAGGACCTGATGCCCACGGGGCCATCTCTGCAGGTGGCGCCTGGGTGGCATACGGAGCTACAACCCTGAGCAGATCATGCTGAGCGCCGCCGTGCGCCGGACCAGCCGGGACGTCAGCATCATGAAGGAGAAGCTCATCTTCTCAGGTGTGCAGCCTGCAGACAGGTTGAGGCTGGAGGCGGTCAGTTCTCTGCGCCCCACACATCGGCGTGTATGCAGTCACACACAGGAAGGGGCGTGAACAGATGTGGAACCCCCCAGCCCGCCGGGTGTAGAAACCTGCCCTGCTGCACGTGTAGCACAAGCCTAGAACCTAGTCAGTGTCAGTCCGTGGGTGGGGGAGGGTGCGTGCAGGTGAGGGGTCGGGGGAGGGAGTCAGCTCTGAAGGCCCAGCCCGCAGTCATGGTCACAGCTCTGTGGTGCAGTGAGGAAGGTCGGGGGCCCCGCTCTGCACGGAGAGCACGTAGTTGCTGTGGGGAGGGTGGGTCGGAGGGGCCGGGTGGGGGCTTCGCGTGCCGAGGGAAGGAGGGGCGCCCCAGGCAGCCAGCATCTGCTCACCCGGAGGGCGCACTGCTTGCTCGGGCCACTGGCTGGCTCTCCCTGAGATGCTGCCCTGAGCACGTTTTCAGGAGCTTGGGCTGCATTCCTGAAGCAGAGGAGGGTGGTGGGCAGGCTTGGGCTTGGCACCTGTGCAGGAGGGCTGTAACAAGTACTCTAAACAGAGGGCCCAAGCCACCGAAGCTTATTGTCTCACACTTCTAGAGGCTGGAAGACCAAAACCAAGGTGCGGGCAAGGCTGAGGGTGGGATCTGGTGCAGGACTCTCCCCTCGGCTGGTTGGTGGGCACCAGGTGTCCACAAGGCACTCTCCTAGCCACCCCTTTATGAGGACACCAGTCGTGTTAGGCCAAGGCTCACCTTGGCCTGATGACCTTATCTTAACCGGCTACACCTGTGGTGACCTCATTTCCTCAAGCCCTAGTCCTAGGAAGGGTTAGGTCTTAAGTGTAGGAATTTTGGCAGAAAAATAATTTAATCCCTAATGTGGAGGGTAGACTGGAGGGGGAAGCTGGAGGCAAGAAACCCAATAATTCAGACAATAGACGTAAGGAACAGAGAAGAAGATTCGAGAGTACTTAGGAGCCAGGGAGACCTGGATTCAAGTGCCAGCTCTACTCTGACTAGCCAGGCAAAAGGGAGCCACCACCTGGCCTCGGTCAGTGTCAGCCTGGTCTGTAAAATGGCCTGGCTCCTGCTCACAGGCATGGTAAGGGTCCGCTTGCCCAGAGGGGTGCCTAGGCCAGAAGGTTCAGCAGAAACAAAAGGGCATCTTGACCGCCAAGCTCAGTAGCAAACCCACACCCAGAAATGTCAGAGCCTCCGAGCCTGCCAGCCTTCCCTGACCCTTCTCCTGCCTCTCACACCTGCATCCTCTGGCCCCACAGAGATCAGCGATGGCATGGAGGTCTCTGACGAGCTCTCCGCATGCTCAGACAACAGTTACGACACGTACTCCAGTAGCACCACCGCCACCATGGGCCCCCGCAGGAGCGGTGCCAAGACCCTCACAGATCGAAGTGGGCCCTAGCCGAAGGTCTGTGTCTGTACTGACGTGGAACTGGGAACCCAGGAGAGCTGGCAGAAGTGCCTGGACTCGGAGTGCTCCGGGAGCTGGCTCCACGGCCTCCTCACGGGCCCCAGCCCCTTGTCAGCCATGGCCTCTCCTGAAGAGGCTCTCTGTCCTGAGGCCCAACTGGGCCTGGACTCCAGTCCCTCAGATGCCCCTGCAGGCCTGGGACTCCTTCTGAGAGAAGTATAGCCAGGGCCAGACTCTCCCACACTGACCTGGAAGCTGTGATGGGTTCCCGGCCCCTCTGGGCCCCTGTGGCCGTGGGGGTGTGGACGCCCTCCTGTGTCTGTCTTCCTGTCCATGCTGAGAGGCAGCTGGATTCTCCATTTTTATCCTGCCTCCAGGGCCTGGGCTGGGTCTTTGCCCCTGAAGCCCTGCTCTTAACGTCACGCAAAGCACAAGGAGCTCTGGCCCAGGAGGGAAGCTGCCAAGGTGGTGGGGACACTCCTCCCCAACCAGCCTCCCACCACTGCTGGCCCTTGCCCCAGGAGAGGGCCTCAGCCACATCCCCTGGGAGCAACTCAGGGCTGCCCTGTCCTGTGCCCAAGTGTCCCGCAGGGCTCTGAAGCAGAATGGCCCGGAAGCCAGCGGATCCACAGGCTGACACAACCTCAGGTCCCCATGGCGGTGGCCACAGGGCAGGCACCCCCTGAGAGAAGTGGTCAAGGGTGGGCGTGTGGAGGGAGCTGAACGGGCCTTGGTCAAAGTGATTAAAGCTGCCATCTTGACGTGTGTCATCCCTGAATTGTCAGTGGGAGGTTGGGGACAGCTTGCTGCAGTGGGATTCTGCTTTGAGATAAACCCAGACCCGTTTGAGAAACCATCTCAGAACAATGGAGAGTGGCCGGGTGGCTGAGCCCCACGCTGAATCACCATGGAGCCTGGGCTTCCTTGACAGCCGAGGGTGGGACCACTGTTCCTGTGTTGTGGAGGCACAGACTGTCCGGGAGAGGTGAGTGACATCCAAGGCCATGTGCTTAGACAGTCAGGCAGAACCAGGCTTGGGTCCGGAGTGTGTGTGCCCCTTCCATTACCGGCTGGGTCGGCACGGCAGTTGGGGAAAACTCGGGTCCATGTAGGACTCGGCAGTGGGATGAACAGGTCCTCCACAGACACGAGGTTTTCTGGGCTCCCTCCGCAGGGATGCCTCTCTGCCGCAGCAGGGATCTGACTGGCCTCTCAGGGCGCTGGACCTCACAGGAGGAGGTCCATTCCGAGCACAGTGCAGCCTCTGGCCATCAGTCAAAGGAGAGCCCCAGAGACAGGCAGGCCTGTAGCTCCCGTACTTGTCCTAAGGGTCTGCGTGGTCTTGGGTGTGTCTCAAGGGGCGAAGGGAAGGCTAAGTGCCAGCTCTAGCCTACATTAAATAAACATGGTACTCCTGGGAGCCAACGGCGTGGCTCTTCTCCAGACGGGGGCTCCCCCCATTAATCTCCAGGGCTGGCCCTCAGGGATTCATAAGGACTCTCACCCTACTCCGCAGCCCCACGGAACATCTGGCAAGCACTCCCCTGTCCCCCCACCCGGGGCAGACATTGGCTCCGCCTCTCCCTGGCATGAAGGAGTATGAGACCTGAAACAGCTGGGGCAGGCGTGGAGCACGCTGACCTAGCCAGGCGCCCCCATGAGCCTCCTCTCCAGCCTGTGGCAGGTGCACCAAGAAAAGTGGACTTGACCTCTCTTCCTTCCTTGCCAGCCCCTTCCTGTCCAGTCAGTCCTCATGGGGGTCCCAGCCATGGTGGGCAACTTGAGACATCCTGGAGTCTTCAGGAAGGGGTGCAGTTGTCTGAGAGTTCTGAGTGGACAATCAGTCAGGACTCCACTCACCACTGTAGTGGACCCTGTAGTTCCCCCAACCCCAAGGGCCAGCCCCACTGCCCCCCCCCACCCCCACTCAAAGCTCAAACAATGAAGTTAGCACAGAGCCAACCCACATCTGGGCAGATGGCCAGGCTTGTCTCCATCCTCAGCTAAGCCATGGTCAACCCTGGTTGCTGTCCCTTCACTGGGGGTTACCACCACCTTCCTGATGCCCTCCCTGTATGGCCTCCCCCAACAGTCTGACCCCACATTCACAGGCAGGAGGAGGCCAGGCCCTTCTGCTTCCAGCAGCCATTTCTTCCTCACCCCATCAGCTGAGCCACCCTCTGCTACCTCCAGACCCACCATGGACCCACAGCCCCGCCTCCACATACACGCCAAAGTTCCCCGAAAGCTGACATCCTTTGGCAAAGCAACACCGGCCGTCCTTTCCAGGGAGCGGGCAGAGACACAAACAGACTCCCTCAGGCCTCAGGACACCTCCTTGGCCATGTCTTGGTCCCTCCTGGCACAGCTGCTTCCACCCTGCCCACCAACCTGGCTCTCCTCAGTGAGGGAGATGCCCCTGGCACCAGCTTTCACGCAGCCCTCTCTAGCCAACAGCTGGGGGAGCAGGAATCTTCATCATCCTTTCCCATGGAAATGAAGATCGGAGCCAGGGCCATCCAGCCTTCTACCAAGGCTGCCTCCCCGAGTTGGCGCTGGTCTGTGAAGGCAATGCCCCTCTCTGCTCCACAGACTCCAGGCCCTGCAGCCCTCTGGGAGGCAGCAAAGGGTCCAGCACCACCAGCCTGCCGAGGTCTTCCCCTGACTTCAGGAGACAGACCGCCCAGAGCCCTGCCTTGTCTCTCCCCCACCACAACCTGGGCCGCCCCGAGCCCCCACACCTTGCTCCAAGGCTGTGCAACTTTGAGTGAAAATCATCCCGACCGCATAGCAGACACAGGACAGCATGCTGTACACACACACACACACACACACACACACACACACAACACAGAACCCCGTCACACAGGTGAACACGCACAGATTCAGAGACAGGGACATGAGATATAAGAGGACGCGTGAAGTGCCCAAGGACATGTTGCTGTCGAGCAGAAGAACGGCCTGTGGCAGCAATGAGTTCTGGCCCTCTGGGCCACACACCCCTGGCGCTGCGTGGGCACTGTCCCACGTGCTCCCACACAGGTCCCCGCCACACTGGCCATGCACAGTCACCCAGCTGCACCCCATCCCGGGGCAGGCGCTCACACACCCACCTTCACACCTGGGCATCTTCCAGGGACACAGGCAGCACCAGGCCACCCCCAGCCCGGGCACACGGTCAGCCCCATATTCCGCCCTCTCCCTCTGCTTCTCCCTCTCGGGCTGGTCCAAGAGCAGCCCGAGTGGAACAAAAGCCCAGGATCCCCCTCCTCCCCTCCCCCTCAGCTGTCCCCTCCCCTCCCCCTGGCGTCCAGCCCCTTTGTCCTCCTGCAGTTGAGCCAGAGCAGGATTCTGGGCAGACCGGCTGGGACTTTAGAGCCCAGGCTGCCGGGGAGCGGGTGGCAGGACGGACAGCGGTGGTCGCTGAGGGGCTGCAGCACGCACCCCGAGAGGGCGTGGCCAGGTAAGTGCCAGGTACGTGCGGGGCAGGAGTAAGGCAGGGCTGCCGCAGCTGCGTGAGTCTGCAAGTCTGAGTGTGTCTGTGTGAGTGGATGGTGGCGTGAGGCTCCCAGGGGCTGGGTCCACCAGACTGCGTCAGGACCCTGGTTGGACGTGCCTGAGTCTTAGCTGGGTGGGAGGATACATCACGCCCTGTCTGGGAACCCTTATTCCAACTGGTGTCCTTCAGCCCCGTCTGGGAGTTCCTGGCGTGTCCAGCGCAGTCTACAGCGGCTGGAAGAATGAAAAAATACTGGCCGCTTCCCAGGAGGGGACTCCTTCTCTCCCCCCACCCCATGCCCCCCACAGCCCTGGGCCCCAGACTTTCCGCAAGCCCAGCCTTCTGAGACCTGCCATCTAGGATCTCAGTTTAGTGTGCAGCTGCTTCCCCCCACCCCCGCCCCACTGAAAATAGATGAGGATGATTCATTGACCTCTCAACAGCCCCTGCTGGTCCTGGGCGGCTCCTCGCCCCCAGCCCCCCTTCAAAACACTGCGGCTGAATGCATAGGCTTGCAGAGCCTGGAGCCAAGTGGGTCAGTCTCTTTACTTGGGCAAAGCAGTTAACTTGCTGGAGCCCTGGCTATCAGGTTGCTCATCGCCTTCGAGGCTGAGGCAGGGGTTCCACCACCCAATGACAGACAGGAGCACTGAGCATGGAGAGCTGACGCCAGCAACATCTGACCTCCAGGGCACAGGGTCTCCAAGGAGGCAGAGCAGCTGGGGTGGGGAGCATGGCGGGGGGGCCCCCGGCAGAGCTGGGCTTCCCAAGGGTAAGCTGCCACTCAGGGAGTGAGCCCCTGTGGCTGGACGTGTGCAGGCAGCCACCTGTTCTGTTCCTTCGTAAAGGCTGTTGAAAACCAGCACAGGACAGTTCTCTGTCTTCAGTGTTTTCACTGACACTCTCCCCTGATCCTCACAGGGGAAGGCAGTTTCCTCATGACAGATTTTTAAAAGGGGGGAGGGAGGTGCTAAAGGAACTTCTCAGGGTTGTGAGAATCAAATGAAATGAAGTCCTTGGAAGCATCTAGTACATGTGGCATATTTGGCAATCCTGTTTCCTGGAATGAAAACGTAAGGAAACACGGTTTGGGCACATTTACACATTCCATTTAATGATCACAAAGTCATAACCTGGAGGCAGGCACTGCCATCCCATTTCAGATGAAGGAAATAAAGGGAGTGACGAGAGCAGGTGACACAGCTCGTGGGGCCTCGGGGCAGGGTGAGGACCTGGGGCAGGCCTCTGAGCCATGCTCACTGCTGCTCATAGTGTCCCCTTGAGCACTCCAGTGCTCCCGAGAAAGGGCCGGCTTCCTTCTCAGCTTTAGCCTCACCAGACTCTCCTCCCTTCAGGGCCTTTATACAGGACGGAGAACACCTCCCTCCATTCCTCCCCTTCCCTGGCCAATTCTACCATCCTTCTCAGTCTGAGAGTCCCCTCTTTGGGGTCACCTTCCCTGACTGTCCTTCCTATGAACTCCCCTTGAGACCCTTGCAAGCTGTGAGTTCCAGGAGAGCAGGGACTGTGCTGCCTTGCTGTCTGGCACAGGAAACGCTCTCAGTAAATACCTCCTTATGCCTGGGCATGCAATTTTGAGCAGGCATTAGTTGAGCACCTACTATGGGCCAGACCCAGGGCTGTTGGGGGGAAGAGCAGATGATAATGGACTTACTCCGTTTGGGTCAATAGAAAGCATCTAAGAAGACTTCCGGAGACAGGATGGGATGAGGAGACAGAGAGGGTTACACCCGCCTCACACACTGAGCCTGTGGGATAGGTCTGAATCTACAGATCTTGACCAAAAGCTACAGATCTTGTGAACTTCACATAACTTCCCAGCCCTTCCCCTCAGACCGTGGAGAGGGCAAGTCCCCCTGCTGTAAGTAGCCAGGTTCTGCTCCTTGTTGGAACCAACCTTTCCACACTTTCATAAATTGTTTTAGTTGACTCTCCTTGAGGTAGCCCCACCTGACAGGTTACCAGTGAAACCCGACCCCTCAGGCACAAGCCTCAGGGCAGGACCAGCTTTGCAGCAGCTGCAGGTGCCTGGAAGCTTAGTGGCAGCAGAGAAGGCTGCCCATCCTGCTGCCCGCACGCTGTGAAAAGCAGCGACAGTCGAGAAAGTTCCCCTTCCTGCCTCCTAAGGACAGGCCCTTCCTCCGGCCAGCCAAGTTTGGGCATAGAAGGCACTAGGAGTGGGGCCACTGTAACAGGGTATCCTGCCTGCTGCATAGATGGGCTGCCCCTGGGCAGTAGCCAGGCTGCCCTGCAGCAGGAAGCCGCAGGATGGCTTCACAGAGGCCCACCTGGAGTCCGGGCGCCTTTGAGAGGTGTCCACTGCTTTGGATTGTCTTGCACCGCCTCGGGTGCTTTTGCTTCCACAATGCCTGGGCTACCCCCGGGTGCCTTCCAGCCCCCCTTCAGATGTGTGTGTCGCTGCACCCCCTGTGAGCACCTCCAGCAGCCACTGTGTGTTGGGTCCTGGCCTGCTGCTTGCTGTACCACCACGGCCAGGCCCTCGCTGATGAGACAGTAGCTCCGTGCACCAGTGGCCTTTGCTTGGGCCTTCTGGACACTGCAGAGACTCTATCATGGTGAGCCAACCAGCCACTTGTGACTTTAGACCACTTTCTCTGCCCCCAAGGTTGCCACCTGTCTGCGGCCAATACTGATGGGGAAAAGGTTAGTAGGTCTGAGGAACAGAAAGGGCTACGAGGCTGAAGTGGGTAAGCCAGGATGAAGGTGGTCAACAAAGCAGGCAGGGCCTCGCCCTTTGGATAGCTGGGCCCCAGATTCCTGCAGCGAGTGGGCACCTGAGTGAGTGGATGTGTGCAAGGACAGGTGAATGAATAAGCCCATGCCCGCGTCCACTAGCGATTGGTGGAATGTTTGAACGGCGAGGGGCCTCCTGGCCTCTACCTCAGCCCCAGGCAGGTGTCTGTCCCCACACTGTGTTCCCTACCTGGCAGGATGCTGGAGGGCCCCACGCCGGAGAAGCCGGAGCCTGGCTCCGAGACCCCGTGTGCGGGTTCCTGCCACGCGCAGCGAGTCCTGCAGACGCTCAACGCCTACCGACGGAGCGGCACCCTCACCGACGTGGTGCTGCGCGCCGGCGGCCGCGACTTCCCGTGCCACCGCGCTGCGCTCAGCGCGGGCAGCGCCTACTTCTGCAGCCTGTTCGCGCACCCACCCTGAGACAGA